CTTATAATGGCTGCTTTAAAATCTGTACGTAGGCTAGTTTATTCAAGTTTATTTCTCCGAATATTGGTAAATCTACAAATTGAACGCGTAGTTATGCTACTAAATTTAGATTTCGTTGTGCATTGTGTGAGGAGGCGAAGGAGAGCTGCAACCACGCCTAGGCCGTAACCTATTGAATTTCGCGCTGGGCTGTGGACAAAACATTTTGAAAAACAATTAAGGTTGAGTTATAATCGCCTCTGGCTCCATGGTCATTCCATACACGGTATTCTACCCAGCAGTTTGGTGGTCAAAATTGTCTTTTTTTTCTGGGGCATTTTTTTCAGGGCCCATTTTTGCTGTACAATAATAATTTTCTATGTTTGAAAAGTGTGTAAAATAAGAACAAATTAAGAACGTTTTGAGCCTGAAAATGGCCAAAAAATAAGAACACAGAGCCTGGGCAAAATTTTACTGGTTCTTATAAAAAAAAAAAAAGTGTATCAGATACAGTATAGACCAAATAAAATGAATTGCTAGTTTGGCGTCCTCTCCCTCTTCAAATCTTGGAGCCTCATGAAAATATTTACTATAATTTGCTATTTAAAAAAAAAAACAAAACCATTCATTTTTTCATGGACAATAAAAACAAAGACTATCTGAAAGAATGATGTCAAGCCTAGAAGAGGGAACATAAGTGGTAGAAATACATTACAAATATACATTTTACTATTTACCAGTCTGTTAACCATTTAATAGTATATATAGGATAGTAAAAAGCAAATAGTGAATACCATCACCACCATTTATTACAGGGATGTCACCAGCTTTTTGAAGTGCCGGTTGCGATCCCAGGGTTTTTCCCGGGGGTGGGGGTGCCACACCTCCCACATTTTCCCGGGGGTGGGGGTCGCCGCATTCGTGAAAGCTCTTAAAAACCAAAAGGCCTAAGTAAGTCAAGCAGGCCTAGGCCCAAGGCTAGCTGACGCGATTTTTTTTTGGCTAGGCCCTGGTAGGCCTAGGCCAGAATTTGAGGAATGCAACAAAACAGATGAAGATGAGACTTACTGTAGGCCTAATAAAATTCAATAGTTGACATGCTTTGTTTTAGATTAAAAAATAATAATGAACAAATCCCGGCGACAAAGCGTCGATCCGACTGTACCCAGCCGCATTGTTTGCCGTAATTTCACATCATGTTTGACGATTACCACGATGAATGTGTATGTCACTGATTCATGTGCACTCATTTATTTATTTTTTGTCCATTTACACACATTATATATCAATTATAATTAAAAGTGAAAAACTTAAAATACAAAATGAAAAGAAAGTAAGGAAATAAAACATAAATCAGGTTTCGTAAATTTTTAATAATCTTCCTGCCCCGGACCGGACTGACCATGATCTCATAATAAAACACTTGAATGGTCACGATTTCAACTTTAACCTTTGAATGTGTACAGAGCAACCGTGTCATGCCGGCCCACGATGTTCGCTATGACTCAACTGGGCCTAGGCCTAGGC